TTGCCATGCGGTACGTGTTCCTTCCCAGACCAGAGGCAGAGGCAGAATGAAAGTTGGCGCCGAACTCTCGCAATAAATAGGCAAAAAATCACGAGACCGGAAGCTGAAAACCGTTCGGAGAAATAAAGATCGGCACTATTTCTCCGAACGTTCGGAGAAATAGTCACTTCGTATATTATATTCATATTCCCTTGTTATTGTCTCTCAAGACCAAGACATTTTATATATATAGAATCTAGATCTAATCTATATTCAAACAAAGAATCAAGACAGAATCAAGACACATGATGCAGCTAAACATATAACGACGCATGGCTGCTTATTTTAGGAATGTGATGTCATCACATATTGGGATACCCACAGACTGTTTTTAGAAGGGCATTTTAGAAGACTGCGGAGATAAGATTCTCTACTAATCCTACCACTACGATCTTTGGAGATACCGCATGGAACGACATGTTGGGTCAGTGGCTTGACCTAATGTCCGTATCGATGTTTTTCGCAAGGTAAAATTTCACACTTGCGGCTAACTACAGCACATCATCAGCTATGCTCTGGTGACTGGTGATGGAAGATCGCTAAGATCGTTGATGCTCAGAACAGTAAGAACTCTGGCTGAAACTGAAGCATGGTAAACGCAATGGAAGTGGCTATCCTCACCCTGGGTGAGAACAAAAATACGATCGACCTCTCACCCCAGGTGAGACTTGCCAGCATTGGCTATTCTCTCCGGGTGTGAAACAACAAGACCTGTTTTTCCTAATTTCGGAATACTGTCTTTCGGTGTGGATGATCAAAGTGACAAAAGCAAAGAGAAAATGATGTAATAGCACAAAAGTAAGTTAATTTGATCGTCTACAAAGATGCTATTGCTATGGCCATTTCACTTTTCGAATCGAGCCGGACTATGGGGGTCGCCATTTTGTTTTGTCGTAAAGACGCCCAGAGATCATGACATTTCTTATTTTAAAGTTGAATAGAAATTCAGAATTAATTTTCTTTGTCATTGAATATCATTTTCGATTTTCTATGAATAATGGAATAAATTCACCCTCTCTATATTGATTAGGTAAAAATATTGATGGGGTCATAACTTTGATAGATTTGCTTAAAAAAATTCTTACAAGTTTGCTAAACAAAGTCTCATCCTTCTAATCTATTAATTTTATGTCCATTAGGCCAACTTTCAAGGCAACAGTAAGAGCTTTTTGAGATATCGTGTCATAATGACCCCTAACAGAAACAAAAATCTTCAAATGGAGATAATTGCTAAAGATTTTGACATGATACAATATCGATTTGCTCACCTTAATATCATGCACCAACTTCATATTATGTGTCATCTTGCTATTTTGCCTTTGATGACTTTGTTTTTTTGTTTTTTTACTTTGATATTTGAGAGGCATCGTGGTGAAATCGGGTGCTATTTGAGAGGCATCGTGGTGAAATCGGGTGCTTGTCAAAATAGTGAAATCCGAGAAATTCAGTATTTTTCTACCAGTTTGGACATCTCTTTCGAATTTTTTTTGGGGGGGATTCAACACCTTGTATGTCCATTCAAAAACAGTTTTGTATGTGGATTTTAGGAAAAAACGTTGATTAAAGGCACAAAAAATGTAAACAGTTTCCAAGGACTCTAAAGCTATGGAAGTCACCAAACTTTGGTGGCCATTTTCTTGCTAATTTTACTTCTGAAACCAGGTGACCCCCCATCTCCTTCAATTGCAAATATCTCGACTTCTATTCAAGATAAATGGATATTTTTTTCATCGAAAGCAAGGCAAATGATTAACCTTTAAGATGATATCGAGCGCCTGATTCCTCTGCGTCATGACACATTTGAACTTTCATAAAGAGGCAAAATATCATAGACTATTTTTTAAGCGCCGAACCACCTTTTTTAGCTCTACAACCAGCCCTTAACTCTTTGACTACCATGGGCCGATCTATCGGCTCCATAACCACCTAGTTCGTGGCCAAAAGCCGAATTATCAGCTCGCGCTTTATTTTCCCTTTCTCTTCCACAATTTGACTCAACCTTTTCGTTTCATGTTTTTAACTGCTGTGCTTACCATACATCAGTCAACCAGTGAAGGAATTTAGCGCCTTATGTGTTTTTTTCTGCTGTTTTTTTGGCATTTTTTATTGTTTTTTTTACCCGCCCTATGTTGCTCGAATTAATTTACACGCATAGCAACGGAAAAATGGCTGATAACCCATCAGGTTCCCCCCCCGTCACAACGTTTTTCTGCTTCAAAAGCCCTGGAAAAGTTTGATGGGGAACTGTCAGTACTTTCCGATAGTGATGTAGGAGGTTTTGAAGTTAGACCTGAGTCGGACAGCAGCGACAGCGATGAGATTGAAGATTCGCAAAGAGGGGCTTGTGTGCAGCGTTTTTTTCTCTTTTTTTCATTGTGAGTGATTTCACCAAAAGTGCGACAACTTTGTATATACTTGACCATTGTGCATGAAACTTGGCCCAGTTAGAGACAATTGGATATACTTCAGTATGACTAAGTCATGAAGTGATTGGATTTAGCAGCTATACACTGTGAGAAGTGTAAGTTGGAAAGATTTTGTTTATTTTTTAATTTTTTTCACCTTGTGTTCACTTACCTCCCATGTTTGTTTGGATTTATGATTTTTTTCATTTTTTAAATTAGATTAAAAATATTCTACATTCAATTACCTTCATTTTGGTATATAACATGTCTGACTTCCCGATGGAATTATGCCCATCAGACACAAAAGAAGAACAGGGGTACTTCTGAAATTCTAAGACTAAGAAATGCCTTGGTCACAGCGCGGAAAACCCCTTGGTAGTCAAAGAGTTAATAAAAGTTTTACCCAAATTCTTATAATATAAGAATATGCACTTTCACACATGATAATTTGGTGTTGATATTTTCTCTTCTTTTTTTTCTACTTCCAGCCTCTATCGAATACAACAATCGCAGCTGCCGAGTTCTCTGAAGATGTGTCCCAAACTCCCAGTGAAGGCACATTAATGGACATAGAAATAGAAGAAGCAGAAGATATTGAAGTGGTGGAGGAGCTAGTTACCGTAGATGTCTTGGAATGTCCTGAAATTGAAACTGAAACAATTTTAACAGTTGACGCCTCAGCAGATGATTCCATAGCCTCAGATCAGGCTGCAGTGAGTACTCCAGGAACAGATCAGACTGCTGCTGAGGACAATTCAGAAGCAGAAAAACCGTCTTCAGTTTTCGTCTTCAAAGATCCTAATTTTGTGGTGAGGAAAGAATATTTCTTTCAATGATACTTATGATTTTAGAACAGCTCCGGGGATGCCAAATTTGAAAATTGAAACCATTTTTTATACACTGAAAAAAAAAAATGTCCTCTGTATCAAACCATTTTTCCATGAATTAGACGGTTTCTTTGAATGAGTTGTGCAAGAATGGTGGGGGGGGGGGGGGGGGGGGGGGTTGATGTGTATCATAATATATTTTTCACTTTTTGACTTAAGAAGCATAATCAAAGAAATGGACTAATTGGATATGAGATTTTGTCGGATGACTTTCATCACTTTAAAAAATTATAATCAAACAGGAAGCAAATGTGAGTCATGAAGGGGACAATTTTGAAAGCCTGTGGCACCACACCATAGCTGACTTCGGAGAGAAGAAGTACACACATATAAATAAAAGATTAAAGTCAAACAGGAATGTCTTATTAGAAAAAAAAGTACCCCAGTTTTGGCACGTCAGCATCTAAATGTTGTTTTTTTTATCTCCTTCTGCTTTGCCTTCTCCTTTTCCAGGCTTTCCTTGATTTGTTGGTGGAAGTTCTATTTTATGTTCTAACTCAGTCTGTCTGGCCAATATTTGATATTTTATAGTTGAAAAGGTAACACTTTTATAATACTTGCATTATGCAGTTTGCAGTTGATGTGTAAATGAATAAAAGATATCGAAATGAAACCATTTTATTTATGATAAATTTGACAGTAATTAGAAGGGACGGGATGCTTCATTATCTATTGTGTCATGTGATATGACTGGATTCAGTCTAAGAAACATTGAGCAGGTTTTTTTGACTGTGACAAGTCTTACATTTTGAACCTATGTTTTTGTAAAAAAAAGAACTATATCTTTCATATTATTTTGTTATTCCCAGTCTGGAATAATACTGTGAATCCCTAGTGATGGCCATAGGGAGGTCACAAGTATGAGTATGGTAGTTAATGTTGGTGAAATAAGACACGATCAAACATCTCACAATGTTAATATTGATGAATGTCTCATTTTTTGCACAGAAACTTGTCTTATTTGTCCCATTTGCTGTTAGCACCATCAAACTTATTATTGCAGTTATGATTACATCTTCAATGCTATAGTTTGTAATCTATGGAGTGTTACATAATTTTTTGGTTTTCCGGGGCATTCTACATTTCTGTGTTATAATTTGTAAAACAGCCTTTGAAAACTCTAGATTTTATCATATTTTTTCTTTATCCTCTCTATCTTGTTATTACATGTAGAGTCATCTTCTATCAGTTTGTTACCTTCAGTGTATGCTTCTTAAATCTATATTGATTTATGTGGGTAGGGGAATTCACATAAATTTGGAAACTATTTATCATGTGGCTGACAGAAAATAAATTGTTTTGTAGCTTTAAAAGCTCTTGTTTTGGTGGGTTTTTTCGCTCGAATAAAATGTTTTGACACTATTCCGGAAAGCTTTTTTTCTTTCTTCAGCATTCAAGTAAAGGGCCAGGTGGAAATAAAAGGACGCGCGTGTGGAAGAATCTCAAGCAGATCATAGCAGCAGAGAGGTCTTTGCCATGGGGTCCAGATGCTGTCACATGTATGTTACCGGCCTTTATAAAATGGTTATGTTATTGTACCTGCGTCAGACTTATTTATTTCATCGTCCGTGTGTTTTTGTCTGTCTATCTACTCATCATGGGTTGGGATATAAATAGTCCTCTCTTCCCTTTGGCAGAGGGCTTATATTCCTTGCTGATAGGATGACATTCAAAGTGACTACTTCTCAGACCAAAGAAAGGGTTGACATTTTTTTTTCTCATAATGTTACTCTTTGTCTAGATGGTTGTGAATCTTCAACTGTAGGTCATGCATCCTCACAGTGCGTGGCCAACTTTTAAAATAGCCTGTTTGTCTCTTGTTAAACTTTTCGTCATACAAAATAAAACTGAACAATTCTTTCTATAATTTCAAGATTATCCTCATAAAATCATAGTTTTGTCTCTTCAAACATTCTGAATTTGTACCAGGAAGATAATAATGGTCACTCTTCAGTAGAAAATATTTGAACCTTCCAAGTTTACACAGGTCTTTTTCATGGTAAACAGTTATTTAAGTTTTCCCACAGAATCACAGTTCACTGAATTGTGTACTGCTTGACAGATTGATTCTCTGACACTTTCCAGTTTTATACAGTATATTTTGTTATAACATTTTCACTTCACCTATGAGCTCTGATGCTCTCTTCTCTTTTGTGTTTAGAGGCAACTTGCCTCATAAATGTATTGATAATTCAATGGAAGTTTGCAACCACACAAACAGCAAGAGACTTTTGTGTTCTTTCAAACTTAAATGTAGAGCAAATGTGTCGACTTTTTTTATGCCATATAAAGGTTGGAAATGCTGTTGTCTTTGTTTCCATACTAGACTAATCGGTCTCAGCACTTTTTTTATCGTCTTCTCACTACGATCTTTGAAAGGCTTCCACTGAATTCTGCCCTTCGGTCATATCTGATGCAAAATCTTTGATCTCTTGTATATGTGTAGTTAAACTATTTTATTTTAAATGTATTTTTACTTTACGGTAGAAATAATTTTGATGTCTCTGTTGATTACTAATGAGTCCCTCTTTATGTCAATTGTGACGTTTGAGAGGAGCAATGAATTCAGTATACTGCACAGATGACAGGGGAAAAGAATCATATACTGGCTATATTTTCATTTAATTATTATATGACATTTACTGGCTCTGAAACACTGATTTGGTTTAGCTGAATATTACTTCTTTTTTTTTTTCAGATGGATCAATAGATGCGCCCCCCTCTTTTAAGCCAGCCAAAAAGTATTCAGACATTTCCGGTTTAGAGGTATGATACATTTATGTAAAATGATTACTATTTTGAGTCTGTCAGGGGTGGTGGGTGGTTGGCGGGTGCTCTGGCGTTTTGCTCCTTCTTTCCTATCAAACATCTGTTATATATATATCTCCCTTTCTACTTTTTGTGTTTGTTACTACCTTGTAACACCTCTAATCTTCAGCACTTATATGACCTTATTGTATTGCAGGTGCTGTAAAGTTTGTATGGAAAAAAAAAGTTAGGGGTGAACTTTTTCACTACTTGAGGATATTTTAAGTGGCTTTTTAAAAATTCATATTTTAGAGTTGATTTTTTTAAAGGTGTGTGTGCACTTTTGATATTAAAATTGATAATCTCTCGATTCCAAACAACCATTTAATCGAAGATAGATTTGTTAAAATCATGCCTGAAAGAATGTCATGAAAAAAACCCAACATATTCCATTTGCCCAGATGATGGGGACAGTCTTAAAGGAGACATACCAGACCTCAGTAAGTTGAAGGAGGTAAAATGAAGATGTATTTTTAATTGTTCTTTCTTTAATGTGACTTTAACCTTACAAAAGCCAAAGTCAGTAGTACATCCTGCAAGAGGCTGTTGTTTTTAGTCACTTTTCTTCTGTATAAATGATAGAGTACATTCACACTGTTTTATATCTGCGGAGAGCTCTGTTTCTCCATTTTTAGAATATGATACTAGTACTTTGTGAGGAATTTGTATCAACCATTGGAAGGAAATGGGACCAAACATTTTCACGCTCTCTGCATTTTTGTTTGCAAATGCTGCTATTGCATATGTGGACATGTCTGAGAGAGAGAGAGATAGAGAGAAAGAGAGAGAGAGAGAGAGACATTTTGTGATGGGGAGTGTTTGCGAATAACATGCAACATAATAATAATGATAATAAATAGCATTTGTGTAGTACAAATTCCAGCTCAACAGCTATGCACTTTACGATCTATCTTCATGAATATCATCCTTACCTGCTACATTATTTCCTTTTGGAAATTTTCTCTTTTCTTTTCATTGTTGTTACTTTCTCTTTTATCTAGATTCTATGTGTTTGGTCAACTCCCATTTTTTTCAAAAGGATGTAGACACATTTGAGCAACAGGTTCTATGAGGTGCTAATGTAGCAATTAGGGATGGGCAGGTAGCGGTACCCAGTACCGGAACTCCCGGTTCTACCGAAGGAGGTGTCAGTACCGGCATCAGGCCTCAGGTACCGCCTCTGGGAAGGAGCTGACACTAGCTGTTTTTTTTCCCGGGCCATGGGAAGTGTGCAGTGTGTAGGCCTAAGCCTAGAGGCTGTGACATCAGATGCACAATGCAGCAGAAGACCTTGATGCATGACTTCACATTCAAAATTGACAATCAAAAACGAAGTTTGCTTAAATTTAAATTTGGCATCAAATCAGGTTCCCCACGAGCCCCTCTGCTTATTTAGATACGCTGATTCTGAAAATAAAATACATTTTTAGCGACGATAATTCTTTAAAAAATTCTGCATGCAAAGTTTAATCCCGCAAACTTCAAAGGTATTTAATGTCGCAGTTCACCTCTCCAATTCTGGCTGGTGTGTGGGGGGGGGGGGGGGGGGGGATACGGGCAGCGCTGATCGTGGCGTTAAATGCAAGACACGAAGTCTGACGTCACCTACTGGTGTCACTCCCGGTACCGGTACCAGCTGTTCTCGGCGCCCAATGCCGACTAAGTGCCGACAATGGATATCGCCGGTACTGCCCAGCACTTGCAGCAACCCTCCAACTAGGGTTCGATTTCAGTATATCAGATAAAGGGAGATAATTCAAAACTTTTACTGGCTCTGAAAAATAGCAGATTGGTAATGGTTCAAGTTGTTTGATTTTAGAAAGGTTGAAGGTTTGTAAAAATGATAAGATATTTGATTCTGTTTGAATTCTGGCTTCCAGTTCCAGTAGATGTGTTGATCGCAGCACATAGATAACAAATGAAAGAAATGGGACATTGGAAGAGAGAAATAGAGAGAGAGAGAGGGAGAGTATGTGTGTTTGGTGCGTGATCTGGTGTGGTCCTGTCAAACATTTTGCGTCCTTATCTCTCCTCCTTCTTTATTGTCTTTATTACTCTCCTGTAATATCTATAGTGAAAGCCATATATATAACCGGCCCCGGTGATAACAGGGATCCGGTAATAACAGGGATTTTGTAAATGAACCTTTGCAAAGTGAAGCAGGGGCGGAGTCATCTCAATTCTTTATTACTCTAGTGACCTCCCTTGGAGGGAGGGGGTCAATTTGGTAGATAATGTGACGACAAGTGACTGTTTTGTGAAGGGTTCCCGGACTGGGTTTAAGAATACAAAGGCGTTGAATGGGGGGGGGGGGGAGAAAGACAGACAGACTCAATGTAATGAATATGCAGTTCAAACGTCGGGAACAGATAGCGTAAGAGGAAACTGTTGGATATAGTCATAGAGACGACAGCCCAGCCACGTGGCTTTCCAAGCGACCACCCGACCGTAAATTCATGCAGAATCATAGATCTCTACATTCAGAGAAACCTTTCTGTTGTGATTCGTTGAACAAGTACGTTATAAGTTCTTTGAGCGCTGCTGATTAGGCTTACTTGGCTCATCTTTAATTTTATAGAGGCCTGTCTAGTTTTTTACGGCATTTACACGTGTCGCGCATCAGGCCTAGATCTTACTAAACATTACACACAGTCACTCAAACACCAGTCAGAAACCTTCTCATCTCTCATACATTATATGTGAATGTGTCCGTGGAAAGTTGGATGTGTAAACGCTGTCCATCACTCTCTTTGTTCGGTGTGAGGGGCACGCTCACCAATTTTCTAGGCTTGTCTTATGCAAGCTGTGCAGTTTAGTGAAAATTTCCCCTTGTCAGGCTTTTCCTGTCGGCGTGTTTCGCTGATCGAAGCGTGCATTTAGAGGGGGTGACCGTGCGTTTGTACGTCTATATTATATATGTAAAACTCCCGTCAAATGACGAAAGCGTGCGTTTGAGTGGAGCGTGCTTTTGTATGGCATACGCTTAGGCGGAGACTACTATCAGGTTTCCACTGAATAATATTTGGCACTTATATGACCTAATTGTGTTACACAAGTGCCATGAAACTTTTACTGAAACATAAAAAGGAGAGAGAATGAATCAGAAAAACTCTCTAAATGAGATATTTTCTTGAAAAGTACCATGTAGTTTGACAGATACTGTGTCTTTGTTTTCTACTGATTCTCTATAGGAAGGAACCTGCAAGTGCAAAGGATGTATATTGTGTTTTTGCAAATTTGGTATTGGTTTCATATATATATATCATTTTCTGTTTTTGTTTTTACCGTTTCACAAAGGACATGGGAGTTTTGACTGGTGTCTGTGGTGTAGCAGTTAAGCTCTCTGCTGATTCATGCTGGAGAGAGGGGTTTGATTCTTGAGTGGGGAGAATTTGCTTCAATTATCTTAGTCTTTCTGCAGGGATGTTGTATCCTTCTCAATCTGGGTTGGTCCTGACAGTATGGTCAAAGCCTGTCTTCTAAATGATCTAAATTGTGTTGAGTGAGGGTGTAAAAACAACTTCAATTTGAAAAAAAATGTTTTGTCCATGAACATCTTTTTTTTTCCCTTATGAATGAATTGCTTTTATGAAAGTTTTTTCTTTTTCTGATTCTCTTTCTCAGTCAAAGTATACAGATCCTCAGACAAGAATGCGTTATACCAACGCTGATGAATATAGGAGAATCAGAATGCTACCAGCAGACATTGTGGCCGGTTGCTTGGCGTTACGGAAGGCGACTAATCCAGTCCCTTGATGCAGTGGAGTTTGGTGTCTAAGAAAGGATGTTTATACATTTTTGAAGAATTGTACTTGTAAAAAGGTGTTCATATTATGTAAATAAAAATTATGGAATACTTGATCTCAGGAACTATGAATTGGATTTTTTGTTTGTGTTTTGACTTTTTCTTTTCCCCGTTGACAATGTTCTTTTTCTTTCTATGTTCTTTATACAGCCTACCAAGCACATAGCAAAATCGATGGGAGTGGAAATCTTTTTGTTATGTACGACTTTCACTGTGTATGAATTTTAGGCAATACAGTGGAGTCCACTTATAACAAGTCCGGAAAAAACGAGAAGTCTGTTATAAAGACACTATTCTAAAACCTCTTTTTTCCCCTTCTTTACCTTTGTAAATAAAATACTGCTATAGCGCTATCAGACAAACATGCGAGTTAGTAATAACGGAATATTGCTGCTGCTGTGCACAGTGCATAGGCCAAGTATACATAATTAAAAAACCTCGCCAGTTGAGATACTTGTTGGTGATCTAGCGAAACAAAGAGTGGGAGAGCCAATGTGTGTCAACAATGAAGGCCGGAGTGACTGAGGAGGGAGGGTGTGGCATGCGCAGACAAGCAGAACACATCGCGTGATAGGCCAGTGTAAGCCTAGTTTAGATTATAGAGGCCTACCATGCCTCTCACTTCTCCGATGTGGGGATGGAGAGGTCACAGCAATGTGATGGGTAGAGCGAATTACTGACGTGCGCAAGCTGACGGAATGTGCCGCAGGGTGTGGTGGGGTGGGGGAAAACACAGCGGGCGAGTTAGCCCAGAGCCCTTTCTTTCTGATCGCCAACGCCGAGCTGTCAGTCAACATCGCTAGACCTAGCACTAGAGAAAGAAACCTGATTCGATTTTTGATAAAGTAAGACCAAAAGGTCATGTTGAAATCAAATCATCATCAGGGGAGATATCAACAAAAGGAGATAAACAGAACCACAAAATCATAGATTGGACCTACTTTACCTTGAATTTATTACTGGATCCCTATAAGTTATAGCAAGAATCCTGCTATAACGGACATTTGACCCCGGTCCCCTCCCTCTCGTTATAACAGGATTCCACTGTATAAAGGGAGAAAGAGAAAGTTGAACTATTGGGTCAATACTTTTAATAAATTACACCTCCTATGCCATGCCAATCTATGCGTCCTCTCCTACTTTTTTACTTTCTAATAACACCTCTTACCTTTGGCACTTACATGTCTTATTTATGTTGCAAACTCTTACTGAAAATAAAAATTAAAAACTTTCCTTTGTTCTGATGCATCCCAATGACAATTCTGCCGTCGTAAGGGAAAACGACGAATGTTCAAAAATTTTCGATTTTGGTATTTTTATATATTTCATAGAGTATTTAATTCTGCATCTGATGGAGTAAAAACATTTGTCATCCTAATCCGTTGTTGCGTAATTGAGAGTTCGTCGTTTTCCCTTACACTGGCGAGCTCCGAGCCAGAGCTCAGTGTAAGGGAGAACGACGAATGGTCGATCGGTCAAGGATCACTGCTCGTTCGGCGTTGTCCCCTGGTCTCTGCCGTTGGGCAAATTCGGCATGAGCAACGAATGACAATTGGTCACTGTTGCGTCAGTACAAACATACTAGGCCTTTTTAGCAAACAAATACACCTCCACCCCCTCCCCCACAGTAGAATCGACCAGGGTTATAAGAATGTATCACTTAGTGTGTCTTTCTGTCTGTCTTCCCGTATTAGGCCTGTGCTGATGTGTGAATTGACAAGAGCAGGCGGCAGAGAGGGGAAAACGGATGGGAACAGGGGGAAAGGGGTGGGGATGGGAGGGTCCAAAAAGTATTTAGGGAGAAATTTATTAGCACTGCATATTATTAGTGTCCACCAGATGTTCACAGACTAACGTCATAGTTTGCTGTCCAGTCATTTCACATCCCAAATCCCAACGATGGTGATGGTGCTGCAATTTGTCTAGCACGTGTCACTGGTAGACATCATTGTAGAATTACCAAGCAATTAATGACACTGCGTTATGAGAGTAAATATCTTTGTCCAACTTAAAAAGTGGACGTATTGTGGCGACACTTAGTCTTGCTTTACGATTTTTTATGACTTGATGAACGTTACGATCGAGTATAATAATGTCTTGCAGATTGAAACTGTTCTTGTCGTTCTCTGCTTTGTGGTATGTTTTCCGATCCGATCAACTGAATCCTTTATTAAATATAAAGCGTCACATTACCTCTCCCGAAAGCGTTTGTGATATTGTCTTGTCCGATTGTTACATTTCTTACGTGAAAGTTTGACTTTGCAATGATCTGATCGTATTATTGACATTGTAACCTTGTTGATCCCTATGATCGTGCAGGGAAAATTTTACAATTAGCGAAAATAAAAGCAAAACTCGCTTGTGAAGAAAATACAATAAAAAGATATCATGGAGACCAAACTTTGGTTCCGAATGAGACAGTTTTAAATCAAGCTGTTGAAAATGTGTGCACATCTCATCTGTACACTGACTGTGTAGTATTTAACCAAGCGAGGAAGGGAAACAAAGTACGGTTATCGAGTTACAGTTGGGATATAACAGACACCAAACTTTATACGTATAATAGCTAGTTTGTATACGTCTTATTTTTATTTGTAGTAACCAGTACAGTCATAACTGTCAGTAATGCGTCACAACTGACCATCGCCTACGCCTATAAACGTTCACGAGTGTAAGGGAGAACGACGAACCGTACCATTCGTCGTTTTCGCTTACATCGCAAGGCTCACCTGCGGGTGCGCAGTGTAAGGGAGAACGACGAATGTCGAATAACTTTGCTACTTTTTAACTTAAACCATTCAAACTTTAGAAACTGCTTTATGAACACCTCAATCAGATACATGGTGAATTACAGCTTAAAAGAGTGAAAAATAGAAGAGTTATAAAGTGAAAACTGTTTTTGCGTCTCCTGAAAAATTTGCCTCGCTATCTGTGCAGGACCATTCGTCGTTTTCCCTTACGACGACAGAATTAAACTACACATTTACATTTTGAAATGAGAGCACTGAGGAAAATATGGCAGCAATGTTGTACCGGTACTGCTCAGCCTGTCTGGGAATTAGACTCATAGTCTTTTAATGTAAATTCAATTGCTCCTGAAAATCCAACCCTTCACTGAAAGACTGGAATTCGTACACTTATTGTGTCACAAAACAGACCAGCACAATAACTGTCAAGTCCATTTGCTTTGGCGTCCAGGGGAAACAACCTCGCATAATAATGTTAAAACGTGTTAATTCATGAGTCTTTTCCCCTATATATCTGTGGTACACTTTATTATTACTGGCACATGTTTGGCTGAACGTTTTCTTCATCACCTGATGTTCAGGCATTAACTATAGATCTAGAACCGGTAATACCGTGAGTCTCCAGAGGTATGGGCCCTTTGTGCACCATCTGCTGAAAAGTCAAGCAGCTCAAAACATTCTCACCAAGTCTGTTTAGTTGTGTGCTGACCACAGCGGGTCATGTAGCGTAGATAAATACCCTGGACTCGGTATAGATACTGTGTAAATATAACGATACAAATGTAGGCCTAGGCGTTTTACTACATCAGAACAAAAATGACAGTCACTACGAAATTGGTCAAAAGAAGATTTTAGAGCTGTATACATACATTGTAATTTGTTTTCTTCACACAAAGGGGAAAATCCCAATAAAATTCATTAGAACTTGAGACTGTTTTTGGTAGCAATTTTTTATACGAGTCAAGGGTCTACCATTGCTGCAACTTAATTAAAGAAGGTTCATACAAATCTACATAGACTAAATGAGTAAATTACAGAAAAAACATTTTGAACGCACTGAAATTAACCTCTTTTGTGATATAACGAGAGTCTCAAAATTCGTGACATTGCTGATGCCCTAGATCTTTCTAGGTCACCAAATTGTGATCCAAAATCACGTCAGTTCGGTGTGTTCCAAAAGAGTTGGTGGGTGTTTGGCGGGTGCTCTGGTGTGGTTTGATTCTTCTTTCCTATCAAACAACTATCGTCCTTATCTCCCCTCCTTCTTTTATGTGTTTGTTACTCTCTTGAAACACCTCTAATCTTCGGCACTAATATGACCTTATTGTCTTGCAAGTGCCGTAAAACTCTTACTAAAGCTAATAAAAACCCCAAAGAGCTGACAGCTTGACCACAATTCAAAGCACATCAATTTTTGCTTAAAATAGCTGGGACGATGCAGGAAAAATGCACTTGATGATACATGTAACATAGGGCTTGGGCTGGCTGGTGACTGTCAAAAACAAAATGTAATGATTTTGGATCACAGCTCTGTTCTTGCCCGTCAGATTTCCTTGTTTTTTAAACCAGTGTTCTCGTGTCTATCCGGGAAGAGAATGACTTATTATGTCATAAACCTCGTGGAGCACATCAGAGAAAGGATTCAGTCGCTTGAAACAATTTTTTACATGAATGGATTGCATTTAAATTTACTCGTGCAGCGATGGAAAAAAAACTTCTGGAACAGATTGAAAAATATGGAATTATGTCTAGCCTACTAGCTACAAGTTCTAGCTCAATCATGACAGAGCTTTTAATTTCATAGCCATTTTGTTGTTAAAAATTATGGGACAGCCCTCGTATTGTATAACAATCTCTCTCTCTCTCTCTCTCACACACACACACACACACACACACACACACACACACACACACACACACACATACACGCATTATTATGTACCGGTATAATATAAAAATATAATATTCGATGACCAACCACCTTGTCTTACTCTTACTTAAAGCCTTAAAGCAATTTAAGTGCGCAAATTTCCATGTTATGTTCAAGTATAACAACACCGAGGCACACCTGAAGAAGAGAAAAGACGATTAGGAACTTGATTTCCTCTGTGTACCCGTACCTGGTACTCAAAATTGATAATACATTTTAATGATATGTGACGATTGGTATGTCATTTTCCCAGCGCATTGACCGTGTACATTGTATTTCTTTATTGAAAACACAGCTTCTGATTTGTATTCTTGCTGCAACAACAATGAATGTTTGGGATGTGAATTTAAACTAGATCTTGCTACATGCATTATATCAAGTTTAT